AACACTTGATCTCCTCGTGGCTCTACTGCGTGCCTTGTTTCCCCACTGAGCTGTAAGTGGGAAATCCTCAACAGAGAATTAAAAAGGAAAGGGAGCTCAAAGCCTTCAGGCCACTTGGAAATCCAGAAGCTCTGAGATTTAGGTTGTCAGATGTAAATGTTACCCTATCCCACCCAACCTCCAGGCCGCTGAGGCCTTCAGTAAGACTGGGAGGAAGCCACCACTCAGGTGCAGCATCCAGAGTCCGAGGACCCAAAGCAGAACCCACAAGTCAAGGGGACGGTCCCCAAGCTGGCATCCTCAGATGCCAGCAGCAAGCTGAGGGGTCCTCCAGCCACCAGCCCCTCTGGCCAGCTGGCTGCAAGAGGGCCCCACAGCCTCTCCCGTTCAATGATTTGCAGAATGACTGACGGAACTTGGACAGGGCTGGCTGTCCTGCAGTGCTTCAGAGCAGGGACATTCACTTGAGACTTGGGAATTCTGTTATATCCGTTATTTACACCAACACCACAGGTGCACTTGCACTGAAAGTTTGCTGATTTGGACTAACGTTCAGCAGAACAGAAGTGTAGCAGTCTTGTGATGTCCCGTTTCCCTGTGAGGGCTGCACAAAGGGTGACCACAAACTGTTCCTACAGCAAGAGACATGAGCCCCCGCAAAGCCCTCCTCCTCACTTGGAATACACTTACTTCGTCATTCGAGCTGCTTTCTGCCATAGTTCCAATCTCCTCATTTGTGACTAACTTTGGTGGCCCGATGTAGCTACTGTGATGTCCTGAGAACCCACTCAAAATGTTTGTCTTTCACGGTCATTTTGGCTTTGGGAATTGGCCAGGCGTTGGATGCTGCCAGACTTGGTGACTGAGGGGTGACGACACCTTGTGGTGTTTTCAGAGCCTGTCTTTCTGTTGTGTGGCACCAGACAGCAGCTTTCACTGCTCTTATCACACCTCATAAAGATACTCACGGAAGACAACATCCAGAGCTGCTTCCGAAAGTGGCCGGAACAGTGTGTCTGGGGCACTGTGGCAATGTGTCTCTCACTATAATAACTTTTATAATTTAAACATTCATCTTATATTTGGATCACCTCCTATATTTATGACGTTATATTGTAAAAAGAGCCAAGCCTGGCATGGTGGCTCACACTTATAATCCCAGCACCTGGGAGGCTGAGGCAGGAGGATTGTTTCAAGTTCAAGACTAGCCTGGGCTATGAAGTGAGCTCAAGGCCAGCCTGAACTGCATAGCAGGACCCTGTCTCAGAAAGACACACACACACCTTGAGGAGGCTACAAACGTTTCACAGAAGAGAGGGAAGCAAGGCCAGGCACTTTGGTCAGATTGATAGTGTGGGTGGGGCATCAAAGAGCTGTGGAAAGACAGCATCAGATGGACACCTGGCAGGGGGCAAGAGGAACGGCTTGGGAAGGTTGGGGGCACCAGGTGCAGCCCAGGGGATGTGCCAAGCCAGTGCGTGTTGTACTTCCCCAAAAAAGCCCCTGAGATGAAAAATGGAGCAAAACCCCTGAGATGGAAAAGATGGGGCAGAACGACGTCATTTTTAGGAAGAAGCACTTTTATTTCAGCTGGCCCAGCGACACAGTGCAGAGGGAATTTGCAAAGCTGTGCAACTGAGTTAGAGTTTTGACTGATTTTTATAGTTCATTTATCATTAGCTCATTGATCATCAAATACATAATGATGAGAAACAGAAATAAGGTGGCCCTTTGTTCCCCTTTGCTTGAGGTAAGAGGCACTTCACAGTGGGTAGTTAGCCAATTCATAGCCCTTGGTCTGCCAATTCCAGGAACATTTGTCTCATAAAGGGAACAGTGGTTGACACAGCATCATTTGTCTCTTACAAGGGGAACAAAAGTTGACATAGCACACAGGTTACTAAGGTGGGGAGGGATGACCCATTACAGAACAGCATAATGGCACGGTCAGTTAATTTATAACTATGTGGTTGGTGCTTGGTTACTAGGGTAATGAGCTCAGTACAGAATGACAATATTGCTAATAACTATCTTTTTAAGTAACTATTTTTGTTAATTATCTTTTAATCAATTATTTTAATTTTTTAGCATCTTAGTATAAAGTGCGGGTGCCCATCATGCTCTGAGCATCCCCTTTTATAGCCAGAGAGCCCTGCAGCTCTGTTAGGACCAAGCCTTTCTGCAAGCAGCACCTCCAGAGCAAATGAATATAAAACCAAATTCCTGGCAAATATTTCCCAATTTCCTTGCAGGCAGCATCCAGCATTCTAGAGGTTATTGAGCCTTTTCCCCACAATTAGAGAAAAACATGTAAAATATGAAATGCAAATGTCAACGCTGATGGAGATGAAAACATTGTAATTTATCCCAATTAAAATACAGCCCTACAGGAGGGCAACAAATAGTATCAGAGCCTTTCTGGATTTAGTTTATGGAATCTGGCAGAAAGGAGGCGTCTCTAAGATCCTTTCTCTACCATGGCCTCACTTTGTGTGTCCTAAATGAAGTAGGGCAGAATATTAATTTTAGGAAGACGATGCTTTGTCAGGGTTAGAAGATGTGCGCTCCTCTTTTTCAGTTGAGGTACAACCTGCTTTGTAAGATGTGTATTTTAAAAGTAATTAGGGGAGAACATTGTTACATACACATTGCTTTCAGGGCAGGGTTTTCCCCCTCTCTATGGCCATTTGGTGAGATAATTTTCAGACTTTTTTTGCTTGGCTTCCACAGCAGCAGAAAGCTCCAGGTTGGGGGTACCTTGGCCTGCAGCCCTGGCTGGCCCCTCCTGTCTGTCTTACTCACTCCCTGGTCTCTCTGCTAGTTGTCATCCGCACAGGGCGAACCTGCTCAGCTTTGGTCATTGCATACTTCCTAATTTCTAGCTCAGTGTCAGGCATGGAGTAGAAGCTCAACGAATATTCTTGAGAAAATAAATCGGAATATTGAAATATTCTATATACATATTTAATTTGTTAGTAACTACAAGTAGTTGGTTTTATGCCTGTTAGCAGAGGAAAAAAAGTATTTCTGTTCTACAACCATTTTTAAAGGAGACAATCACATTTAATTAAAAAGTTTAAACTGTAAAGAATTTTCTGTTAAAATGTGGTCTTATTGAATGTATAGTATTATGCTTCGAAGTTCCTGCAGGGCATACTTCTTCGAAAGCGATCTTGTTCTATTTTTCTAAGGGTTTTTGCATTAAATTTGCAGAATACTTGTGCACTGAAGAGGATGGAAATACAGTTTTTCCAGATGGAAAGAGGTTCAAGAGTCTGAGTGAGCACGGAGGAATGGAAGGAAAGGGAGCCAAAAGAAGAATGGAGGTGTGTTCTGTATGCTGACGGTACATGTAATCACTATGCAATGCAAACATGGACTAATAAAAATACATAAGAAAATTTAAAACTTAAATTAAAAAATGATTTCTACATAAAAAGAGTAGCAAATTTTGGGGGAAACAAAATTTCAAATTCAAACTGCCTTTTTGGTTTTTTTTAAGGTAAGATGCCTGTATATGCATAAGATATAAATACGTATTTATAAAAAGATATCATTGTTGTACTCCTAAATGCCCTAGTGTTAACAGAATATTACTCCCAACCTGTTTGTTGTGGTCTCACAGCATTGAAGAAGGCATTGCAAACCAAAGGAGGAGGTTAGGAGACTTTTATTTGAAATGAGAACAGCTCCTGTGTTTCCAAGAGGGGTCCAGCGTGGGTGGTCCCGTGGTCCCTTTGTCCAGAGGAGAGCTCAGAACTGTTCAGTTGTTTGTTGGCCACAGTGGGCTCTGTGAATTCAAAGCGACCAACTGGAACCCAGGATCTGTAACCTAGTTCGGCAACATGTAGGCTTTAAAGAAAACTGGGACTTTAGAGGGAATAAAACTGGTTATTTCTCATTTTAAGTGCCCCAGAACTCAGAAGCTTAGGAGGGAGTGGGCTGTCCCATGCTGCCCGAGGAAGCACGTTCTTTGTCCTGTTCACTGACCACACTTAGTTTTTACCAGTGTAAAAGGGTGTCAGCCCACCCTGCCTCACGCCCTTGCTCTAGCTAACTGCCTCACTTGTGAGTTAACTAAATAACCTATTATCTACACTTAGGTTAAGTTTCTCATGAAATAGATTTCTAGGATTGTGAAAAGTTCGGGTTGGTTCGAGCAAAACAGTTTTGGGGGAATATTTTTAAAAAGTTGTTTCTTGGGCCGGGGATTTAGCTCAGCAGCATAAGCGCCTGCCTGGCAAGCACGAGGTCATGAGTTTGATCCCTGGTACCAAAAAACATTGTTTCCATGCTCTTGATCTTTCTCCTCCCATACTCCACTTTACAGGCTTTACTGGATAATTGATTTATTTCAATCTCACTTTTTCGTAATTTTTTTCTTTTTGAGCTGCAGGGTCTCACTCTGCAATGAGGCTGGCCTCAAACTCGTAGTGATCCTTCTGCCTCAGCCCCTCAGGGTGCTGGGATTACCGGTGTGCGTCGCCACGCCTGGTTTTCCTAAACAACCGTTTTGTGGGCCCCAGCCCCCGTCCAGGCACCCGCCTCCCGCGGTTTAGAAGCCGCACATCATGTGAGGGAAGAGCAACAGCCCGCTTTCTTCTTCATACACATCGCGCGGGTCACCCTTGTGGACGAAGCGGCACCAACCCAGGGGGTCTGCCCCCTGCCCCCTGCCCCCAGCCCCCTGCCCCCTGCCCCCTGCCCCCTGCCCCCTGCCCTCGGCCCTCGCCCCGCTAAACTCTCCCGCGCCCACCTCCCCGGAGCCCGCAGGCGGACTGCAGGGACCACACTTCCCAGGGTGCCGCGCGCGCCCCAGCCCCGGCCCCGCCCCCAGCGCGGCTCCTGCGCGCTGAGCAGCGCGCAGCCCGGGGGACGCAGTACGCCGTCGGGGGCGTGGCCTGGCGGGGGCGTGGCCTGGCGGCGTGCGCTGCCGGAGCGACGCCGCCGGGCTATGCGCCGGGCTCGGCCGCCGTCTCTGCAGGCAGAGGACGCGCGCAAGCCGAGGCCCAGGTAACCACGCTCTCGCGCCACCCTCTCGCCCGGCTCCCTATGTGGGCGCCGAGCCTGCGCTCAGCCCCGCGGCGGCACGGTGAGGACTACGCCCGAGTCCTGCAGCGTCGGGCGCCCGCGCGGTGGGCCTCCGTCTCGGGTGACAAACGCGGTCCTCGCTGCTCCCCGCACTGCCCCGGTCCCTCCGCGCGTCCTCGTTCGCCGTCTTCCTCCCGTCGGGGGGCATCGCTTCCTTTGTGCGCTGCGACGCCCGGGAGCGGCGCGGACCTGCGCGGGGACCGCCACCTGCGCTCCGGGGCGCGCCTGTCTTCCGCGGGGGCGTCCCCCGAGATCCGCAGGGTGGGCACCGCGACGGAGCTCGGACCTGCGGGGCTGCGGCCGGCGCTGCGGCTCCGACTTCCTCCCGCACCTCTTGGCCAGTCAAACTCCGGACCCGCTTAGAACCTAGCCGCGCCGCACGCTGCCTGCAGGGTACCCGGTGGCACCAGCGTAGTAACGGAAACGACCTCAGGTAGGGGCTCAGCTGTGTGCATTTAGCTTCTGCATCGCTGGTCTTTTTCCCCTTGGTGCTGGGAACGGACCCAGGGCCTTGTGCCGGCTCAACCCGCGCTCTGCCCCACAGCTGCGTCTCAGCCCTTTGAAATCCATTGTGAGACTGTATCTGGCTTAATGATTTAGGCTGGCCACGAATTTGCAGTTCTCCTGCCTCAGCTTCCGAATTGCTGGTCTTACAGATATGTGCCCCTCTGCCAAGATCCAAGAGTAACTCCTTGTTACTGGGGATGGGGATTTAGCTCAGCGGCATAAGCGCCTGCCTTCAAGCAGGCAGTCGTGAGTTCGATCCCTGGTACCGATAAAAACCAAAACAAAACAAAACAAAAAAAAAGTAACTCCTTGTAAATAACAACATTTTCTCTTTAAGAAGAGGATGAGGAACAGAGGATCTAGAGATCCAGGAGTGGGGTGCATGCTTAAAGCCCATCTGGCCTGGAGTTTAATCCTGCACACCACCGAGGGGGAAAAAAACAAGAAAAAAAGTTGGGTAGGTGAATTTTGACCCCGCCCCCGTATTTTAAAAATAGATTTTATTTTTAGAGCAGGACCGAATGGAGCAGAGGTATAGTTTCCCGTATTTTCAGCCCTTCTAGAAACTGTCAAAACCCCTCCCCAGAGCTGTTCATTTGTTACACTTTATGAACCTTTGACACCTTTAGTACCCTAAGTTGGTGGTTTACTCCAAGTTTCATCCTAGCCATTGTACAATCTTTGGGTTTAATAAATGACCCTTTGTTTCAGCAAGAACTTTTGAGAGTTGCAGGGAACTAAAATGGATGTTGTCATTAAAAAAAATAAAGAAGCTTAGAGGCCTGTGGGTGTAGCCCCGGAGCAGAGGAAGCCTGAAGCCCTGGGCTTGAACCCCAGCATCACAAGGTTGACAGTAAATATTTTGAATATCTTAAAGAATTAATTTTTAAATAGGTTTCCTGTTTTAAAAGTGAGTGTTTATGTTCTCAGCTTCTTATTCTCGAATTCTCAGCAAAGAACAGTTTGTTTTTCTTCATTATGAGAAGATAGGTGGGATGTGGTCTCGAACGCCTGTAATCCTAGCACTTGGGAGGCAGAGGCAGGAGGGTTGCTGTGAATTAGAGGCCAGTTTGGGCTGCAAAATGAATTCAAGCCCAGTCTGGACTAGATAGTGAAACCCTGTCTCAAACAGAAAAAAAAAGGAAAGATAAAAGAAAAGTTTTGTAGAATAACATTTTTTTCAGTGCTAAAACTTCCTGGCATAACCATATGTTTTCTGAATTATTGTGTGTTAACCAGTGAAACAAGAGGAAATCAAGTATTTTAAGTACTGTACACTAACTTTTGTATACTGGTATGAAGCTGTGTCTAATAAAACATGACTCATTACATCCTTTCTGTTCCGAAGGGCTTTTGTGGAGGGAGCAGGGTGAAATACTGCGCTCAGCTCAGTCCTGGGTTAGTACCAGCTTCCTCACTTGGCTGCTTGACCACAGCCAGATGTTATCTGAACTGGTTTCCTTAGCTATGACAGGGGGATAAAAATAACTTCTGTTTTCCCAGAATTGTAAGGATTAATCATTCCTGTGTGTATATGAATTTCGTATGCCATATTCACCGTAATATATATTCTTACCAGTGGTTAGCCACTATTTTAAGAATGCTGTGGGTATGGTCTCTTATCTGGTGACTGATGCTTATGTAAATACTGCTTACCATTTTTTAAGGATTGGTTGTACAAGAGTACAGTTATCAATGATCTGATTGGCTCTTAAGTCAGAGGTAGAATTATGGAACAGGATTAGAGACACCTGTGCATTGTTAGGTCCACCTGTGGCCTTTTTTTCTGCCTCCTCGCCATTTATTTATAAAGAGGAATTGTGTTGGACCAAACAGAAAAGTATCTAATGTAGTTAATATAGCAAAGTACAAAATTTACTTCATTGAGATGTTTTTATTATAGCATTTAAAAGGGGTGAGGGAGAAAAAAATAGATGGTTTTGGACACAGGCGGTAGGAATATTTTTACTGCTTCTACAGATTTCTACGGATTTTTTAACCTGTGGCAGCAGCTATGCTTAAACGTGGTCTTCTAAGGTCTGTGAGCCCTGGTACACTGGTAAAATGCTTGTACTAGTTACTTTCTTGTTGCTGGGACAAATTACTCAACATCTACAGTTAAAAGCCGAAAGGTTTATTAGCTCAGTTTTGTTTGTAAACCCCTCATCCACACCAAGAACCATGCTAAACCAGTCTGTGTTAATCCCCTGTCACACCCGTTATATATTCTTTCTGCAAAAGCTCCACTTGTGATTGCATCTGGCTTCGGAGGAACATCTTGATATAAACCATAACAGTACTAAAAGCTTTTTTTTTTTTTTTTTTTGAGACAGGGTCTTGCTGTGTAGCCTAGGGTAGCCTAGGACTCATGGTGATCCTTCTGCCTCAGCCACCACACTGGGCTAATTTGGATTATTCTGAAATGTGGTCTATTTTTTCCCCTCATCAAAGCATTTGGTGAGATGATATGTCTGTATAATAATTGTTGTATATCAAAGAGTGTTACGTTATACCATATTAAATCCTAACTGAAAGGGCAAGAGAGGAAAGCATGCCTTTTCCCCTCCCTTATATAGTGTGCTGGCTCCACCCCTGGGCGGGTGCAACACTCACACTTCCAGTCCCAGTGCTAGACAAAGAAACAATCAGAAACACTAGATTCAACTGCCTCCGTGACTGCATGAGGCTTAGGGGGCCACCTAGACACAAACCATAACAATGGACTGTATTATAATTTATAACATCATATTTGCATTTTTGGAGGTTCAGAATTAGGATGAACACTAAGTTTGAATTCATTCTCCTTTAGCGTTCGGAAGTCTGACTTCCCTGTGTGCCGTGTACAGCCCGTGGTGGTTGGGCTGTGGAGCAGCTTTCTAGCCTCAGTTACCAGTAGCATTGACAGGCTCAGGTGTGAGGTGTGCAAATGATTCTGTGCAAACCCATGAAGGATCTCAGTGGGAGGAATACTGTCTTTTCCCTGAGATCTTTTTCTTCTCTTTGTTGTTCATTATTTTTTGTTTGAAATCTAAATGCTTTTTAAAGTTCTAAATCAATATTTGGGAATTTATAGACTGTATTAGCACTACTCTGGCTCTTCAGACTTGTTCTTTGTAAAAATGGTCAAAGGATTTAGCTAGACCTCAAAGATGGATTAGAGATGAATGCTTGCATTTTCATAGGGAAGGTTACCATTACACTGCATCCTCAGTCACAGTGCAGAGGTTTGTTTAACTTCAGTAACGAATGAGGTCAGTTAGTTCTGGATGGGAAACAGTAATCATTTCAGCAAAAAAAACACAAAACCTTACGGTGAGATCAGTGATTTTTTATGGATTTTCTCCTTTATTTTTTTGGAGGGGATGGTATCCTCCTCTTGAACCTAAAACATTCTACATTTGGTGAAAGACAAGAGTTCTGGGGAAGTCCCCCTGAGGTGCCTACACACAGAGTTGGGGCTGACGCATTTTCCTTTGGCCTAGTTGTAGGACTTGAGCTTCCTCAGTCAGCTGTGCGTGTGTTGGATGATGTACATTGACATTTAGAGGCTGGGAGACTTTGAGACTGTTTCTTGCCTTTCCCCAGCCTGGGTATCTACAGTTGTTAAAAAAAAAAAAAAAAAGGAATACAGTGATAATTGTTGTCAAACTCAGTTCATTCCAAATTCATGCTCAAACACCAAAAGTTTTGAGAACTGAATATATTTTTCCCATTAGAAATAATGGAAAACCAAATAATTGATACTTTTAAGTTCATTTTTCCAGGACTTTAACACATTTTGCAACAATTTCTTTCTTCAATTTTTCCTCTTACCTTTACTGCTGCAATCACTACCTTTCTTTGGAGCCATGGTTGTGACATTTGCTGAAAAAGCACAGGGGCAAATGGCTTAAGGCACTGGCACAAGCACTATATGATGTGCCATCACCCCTTTTGTCTCCGAGGTGACACACGTGTGACTCACTCTTTGCCTGCACAGGTGTTTTCCAAGTCTGATTTTCAGTTGACTGTTGAGCAAGTTACCAGCACCGAGATTTTTTCTAAACTTCGCTGTCGAGTATTGGAGAGTTGGAGCGTGGGGCCCCTGGACCCCCAAGGTATCACTGTACTTTTTTCAGATTGTCCTGAAGATTGAAATGGACCCATGACAAGTGTATAAGTCACGATAGCAACTAGATAAGTGGATAGATAGATGCATAGATGGCTTATATGCCAATTTACCAACTCATCTGAGAGTTATAAGAAGCCTATGAAGTTGGTAGTCATTTTCATTTTTACAGATACAGAAATCAAAGTGAAACTAAATGAGAGTTTATATACTTTAATCAAAGTCATACAGCCCATAAACAGATAGTAGTTCTGTTAATACTGGCAGGGTTATAATAGTTAAAAGAAAAAGAAACCTTTTGCTGAAAATTATTCTTGATAATTGCATGTGTTCCTGACCAAGAACTCAGAATTACATAATTTATAAAAGCAGTAACATCCACTTAACTAAACGCTTACTGTGCACTAAATGCAAGGCAAATACTCTACTTGTATTGCTTCATTTAATCTTCAAAACAACCTTAAAAGTAAACTGAGTCTCGGTAATTTTAGGTGACTTATTTGTGCCTGTGTAGCTAATAGAAAGTCACAAACTGACTGTGAAATCTTTGCTATTTAAGAAAATAGACAAATAAGGTAACACCTGGCCTCAGTGGCACACTGCCTGTAATCTCAGCTGCTTGGGAGGCTGAAGCAGAAGGATTGCACATTCCAGGTCAGCCTCATGATTTAGCAAGACTCTGTCTCAAAACAGAAAGAGGGCCAGAGGTGTAGTTCTGTGGTGGTGAACCCCTGGGTTCAGTCCCTAGTACTGCTCAACAAAAACAAACACAGTAACAATTTCATACTTTAAACAGGAATGAAAGTATTCTTAGAGTT